TCCCTTTTTTTCTTTTCCTTTTCCTTTCCCCTTGCCTTGGCCCTCCTCCACCTCATTTTTGCGCATGACCAGACTGATCAACAGCGGTTCGCCAATCTCCATGCCGTCGCTGGTGACGAGTTGCCAAGTCTCTTCGATCAACACGGTGCTCATCATCTCGCTGCTGCTGGTGGTGGGAAAGGCGGGAAGCGTCAATCCTCGAATGGTGATGCAAGCTTCTTGACCTGGCGAAAGCGTCTTTTGAGGAATCAAGAAGCTCGCACTGTCCGTACCGCAACACAGAGCTGATCGGGTGCTTTTCCTCAGCAAGAGCAAAGTGCGTCCCCAACGTGTCTGCGCAAGGTTGGACGAGTCTGGCCGGATGTTGTTCGTTGGACCTTTGGCGTCTATCAAGGGCCAAGAGCGAGTGGAGGAGTTTCTGATTTGCCAACTGTGCGCTAGCGTCGCTCCTTCAGGTACATTGCGAGGTTTCCAAGCATCGGTGTAATTTTCGTTGGGACCCCACCTGCTGGTGGAGGTGAGAGTCATCGCCTGAAAAGGTGCTAGCCCATGCGTGGGCTTGCTCATGGGCATGTCGGCAGGTCCGCAAGGCCATTTTCCTTGCGGCTCAGACTTGATATGCACAGAAGCCGTCATCTCCGCATCGACCTGCTTCTGCTTCGGCTCTTGCTGCGCGGTCTGCGCATGCGGCTGCACTCGAATCCGCACGATCAAAGGATCTCCAAAATTGTTGCCCGTCAGCGTATTGTCCACCAATCTCCAGCTCTCTTCGTATGTGCCGGGAAGCTCTGGTGCTCTCAAATTCCAGAGCGTAATCGTCATCACGCTGCCTGGCCACAGAGTGGCGTCCGACACCGTCCGAAGCGTATGACTGTCGGGTCGAGAAAGGGTTGGCATACTTTGACGCGCTATACGTGCTCCATTGGTCCAGGCAGGTGACTCGTCCGGAATTCGCACCTTCCATGACTTGGCAAAGATGGCGCCCGCTTCTATCGAGCTTCCCCACGGTGTCTCTCCATCTTCTATCATTTGCGCTTGCCAAACAAGTGTTCGCCGAGCGTCTGCCTCTTGACGTGTCGGAGCGTCGCTAGGAGGAATTTCCTGCCATACTGCAGAAGAGTCGCTGATGCAGGGCTCGACAGGATCCCGACCTGCTGGTGTGAACCTGGAAGGTGCTGCAAGCAGAGCGAGCGGATTGACTTTATTGCGGGTAAAGGGATTGCTCTCTTCATTTTGCAGTAGAGCAGCAATCACTCCGTCCAGTGCTGTCCTGTCTAGAAGGTCTACCTCCTTGCACGAATCGATGGGAAGCTTGTACTTCAGCAATGGATGGTCGCGTGGATGTTGAGCGATAGGACTAGCTTCGCAATTCTCGCACAGATTGACCCCTTTGCATGCCTCGTCCGGAGTAGCGCACCTGTACCTAGCACCTATGATAGCGCCCTGACAAGCTGAGCAAGTGATACCCAGATGAAAGATCGTCTTTGGATCTGCATACTCGTTGACTGACGAAGCATTGCGGTGTATTCTGGATCCCAATTGAGTTTGCTGTTGAGGCCTCCAGACATCCTTGGCTCCCATCACCTTGACAAACGTATGGTGAGGATGATTCTCATCCACCACCATTCCAAAGCACTCGTCGCAAGCGTTCCACTTTCCACCAGGACAATCCAAGCATACCCATCTGATGGACGATCTGAGATTCTCTCCGCACATTTCGCACGCCGCTCCGTGCGTTGCTGATGGGCCTCGCTGGCTTGATTGGGTCGCGATGGATATGGCTGCTGCGCCAAAAACTTCGGATGAAGTGTAGCGTCCTGCGGCTATGCCGGATTGGGTGGGCGTGGAAGCGCCAGATCTCGAGGTGTGGTTCGAGCCGTTGTCGCCAGTGGGCGTGGACGCGTCCATGCCCGACGGGGCAAGTACTGCACGAGGAGCTTGATGCTTGGTCAATAGACTGA